AAATACTACGATATTCAAACATCAGAATATTGTATGGACACACTAAAGATATACTTCAGCACACACAGTGCTTCTCTGACAGGTTTTGTCACTGAATTTACTTGAACTCCCTTAAAATTAATTAAAAATCATTTAGTATTCAAATTTGAAGACATGGTTCTAAAATCTCACATGCAACCGAAACACGTTAATGGAAACTCAAACTCAGCCACACTCCACAATGCAAATCCACCCCCGTCAGGCACAGCTTGGCGCGGGCGGTGGCGCGGGCGGTTAAGCGGCAGGTAGCAGGGGCACAGAATAGCATTGATGAGGAGCATGTTTTAGCTTTAATTCTAAAGGAAGATGAGTTAGATGAACAGAAATGCAAAAATGCTCTAGAAAAATACTGTAATGAACTAAAGGAAGTAGATCTAGACCTATCTAAAGTACATTTAATGTTAAAAGATGTATGTGAAAAAAAAAATGAAAAATGCAATGGCTTGAAAGACAAGGTTAATAAGAAATGTACTACACTTAAAACAGAATTAACAAAAATAATTGGAAAGTCATTTCCAGAAGATAATGACTGCACAAATCAAAATACATGTATGTTTTTGGAGGGAGCATGCCCAACAGATCTTAAAGAAAGCTGTGATAAATTAAGAGAAAATTGCAGAAAAAAGAGACGAAATGATGCGAAAGTAGATCTTCTTTTGAGAATACTCAGAGGGAATTTGAAAGATCAAGAATTGTGCAAAAAAAATATTGATAAGACATGTCTTGAAGTAATGGAAGAAAGCGATGAACTTATGTCATTTTGTTTAAAAACACCAGATAAATGTAAAGAACTCACGGAGAAAATAAATAAAAAGTGTGAAGATTTGAAAAAGAATACAAAAAAGATTATCGACAATAAAGATAGATCAAAAGAAGAGTGTAACTTGGAACTTGAAAAATGCTACTTTTACGGAACAGACTGTGATGAAAAAGTTAAAGCACAATGTAAAGAAATAGAAAAAAAATGTGAAGAAAAAACAAAATATATGCCAGTAGGGCTCATATTTGACCCATTGAAACCAGCAGCTACGTTAATGGAGGCTATTGGAAAAACAGAATTGTTTAAAAAAGACATTGGAAAACCAAATATAAAAGATACAATTGATTTATTAACATTATTAGCAAATGAAAATCTAGGCCAATGTAAAGATAAGCTTAAAGAATGCTATGAATTTTGTAAATTTATTCCACAATTAAAGGATTTGTACAATAACAGTACGAAGGAAATGGATCAGACTAAAGAAGATATATGCAATGAACTACAAGATAAAATGAAACCTAAATGTAAAACACTTAAATCAAAATTATATAGGTTGTCATTGTCAGATAAAAATGGGGATAGCGAAGAGGCCACACAATTAGGATGGGACCAGTTGACAACAGAAATTGATGAAGATGTTTGTGTAGAACTGGAGTCGAAATGTTTTTATTTGGAAAAACCTTGTGGAACAGCGGGTATTAAACTTGGAAATGCATGCAAAAATCTAAAATCAGCATGTTTAAAAGCACGGAAATTCAGAAAAGTGTATGGAATACTTGAAGAAAAATTAAGAGGAAAGTTGCATAATTTAATCATAAATAATGGCAGTAAAAAATGCGAAAACGAACTGTTGATTCTATGCAAGAAACTAGTGAAAACAGAAGAGGTACTAATAGAGTTGTGTTTACGGCCAAAAAGCACATGCATAACACTTGAAGATGATATTAGAAGACAAGGAGAAGACTTGATAGAAGCTTTGAATGAAAGACGAGATTTTCCAAATAATGAGGATTGTAAAGAATTAGAAAAGAAGTGTGAAGATCTAGGACAGGATTTGGAAGAAATTGAGCGTCCATGTCATACATTGAACCAACACTGTAATCGATTGAGAAATGCAGAACATTTGGAAGAAAAATTATTAGAAGGAAAAATAAAAGACTTAAAAAATGAAGCAAAATGTAGAGAAAATGTTAAGAAGCGATGTGATGACTGGGTTATGAAAAGAAAAACTGAATTTACTCTTGCATGCATCGAGCAAAATATTACTTGTCAGATCATTACGGAAAATATAGAAACTAAATGTTTTCTATTGAAAAAACATATGGAAACTCGTGATGTTATAAATCAGCTGAAACAAAGAAATAAAATAGAAGAAATTTGTAGTTTCTGGGTTCCATATTGTGACAAATTCACTCCAAGTTGCAATGAACTTGTGAAAAAAGTTAACGGAAAAAACAATGGAGTTTGTTCACAACTCGGCAAAAAATGCAAGCCATTCGTTGAAAGAAAAGAACTAGAAAATAAAGTAATTGATGAGTTAAAAGGCAATTTATCGGACATAAAAGAATGTAACAAAACACTTAGCATATACTGTACACAATGGATAAAAGCAGAGAATAAACTTAAAACTTTATGTACTGATAGTACTAATGCCAAAAAAGACTTGGAAGTTAGGGAAGAGCTCTGTGAAAAACTTGTAGATTGGGTGAAAAAACAATGTCCAAAACTGTTGAATGAAATCATTGAAATAAAAGATAAACTAGAAAAAGGAGAAAAAGAATATGAAAAAATTAAAAAAGAAGCAGAAGAAGCTATAAAAACAGCAGATCTTATTTTATCAAAGGTAAAAGCATTTGATAATGGCAACAAGTCTCTAGATAAAGATTCACCTAATACACCTAATGAAGGAAAAGGCACAACAGAGTTTAAACTTGTAAGAAGGAATACAAAAGCGCATGTAACAGAAAAAGAATTAGCAGCATTTGATTTGGTAGCAAGAGCATTCAATCTCTATGTAGAGTTGAAAGAAATATGTCATCATTCACAAAGAAATTGTGGATTTGAAAAAGAATGTCCAGATTGTAAGGATGCATGTAAAATTGTGAACCGTGTATGTACAGGATTGAAGCCACTGGAAGTGAAACCATACGAAGCAACAACTAAAAATGTAACAACAACAACCACAACTACAACGACGACAACAACAACCGTTACAGATCCAAAAGCAGCAGAATGTAAGTCTCTACAGACGACAGACACGTGGGTCACAAAGACGTCGACCCATACTAGCACTTCTACGACTACTTCCACAGTCACATCGAGAATAACGTTGACCTCGACGAGGCGGTGTAAGCCTACGAAGTGCACCACCGGAGACGATCCAGAGGATGTCAAGCCAAGTGAAGGTTTGAGAATGAATGGATGGAGTATAATGAAGGGGGTGTTACTAGCAATGATGATTTCAGTTATGATTTAAAAAGCAAATGGGCAGGATTTAATAATGGGCATGTATATTTAACAGATAAGACAGGGTAGGAGAGGAAAGAGTAAAGTAGATTGAGTCATCTCTTCAGCATCAATCGAAAGTGCATTATAACCAAAAGAATACGTGTCCCCTAGCCATTTGTCCCTATTATTTACCTGAATAATCTTTTTTATTATATACATTGCTTTTTTACAATCCATTTACTACAGATTAATTTTTACGTTTATCTCGCGTTTACCCCACATTTACCCCACACAAATTTAAAATATCGCGAAGTAGCCAACTACACGTTAAAGAAAGCGGGCACCTTTAAATGTATTTGGTACACACTGCTTCTCTGACAAGTTTTATCACTAAGTTTACTTGAACTCTCTTAAAATTAAGAATAATTTAATACTCAAATTTGAAGACATGGCTCTAACATCTCACGTTCAATCAAAATACGCTAATGGAAACTCAAACTCAACCACACACCACAGCGCAAACCCACCCCCGTCAGGCACAGCTTGGCGCGGGCGGTGGCGCGGGCGGTTAAGCGGCGGGCACAAAAAAATGATGAGATTGGAGAGGAACATGTTTTAGCTTTAATTCTAAATAAAAACAATTTAGAAGAAGAAGAATGCAAAAAAAGACTGAAAGAATACTGCAAAGGCTTAAAAAGTATAAATCCTGAATTAGATAAAGTGGATCAAAAACTACAAAAAGTATGTAAAGAAGATAAAATAGTAGAAGAAAAGTGTACAGGATTGAAAAAAAAAGTCACTCAAAAATGCAACGATTTTAAAAATAAACTTCAAGCAGCAGCAGTAAAAGAAATTTCCGCTTTGAAAGATAAGGATTGTGAAGAGAATGAACGACAATGCTTATTTTTGGAGGGAGCATGCCCTGATGATCTTAAAGAAAAATGCAGTGACTTAAGAAATAAATGTTATAAGAAGAAGCGAGATGAAGTAGCAGAAGAAGTTCTTTTAAGAGCGCTCAGTGATGATCTTGAAAGTGAAGACAAGTGTAAAAAGAAGATTAAGAGTATATGTATTATTTTGGGGGAAGAAAGCAACGAATTAATGCAAAAATGTTTTAATACGGACTCTCTATGCACATTTCTAGTAGAATTAGCAAAAAAAAAGTGTACTCTTTTGAAAACTGAGATAGAGAAAGTACTAGAATCTGATGAGGAATTAAAAAAAGAAGGGCATTCTTTACTTGAAAAATGCTACTTTTATGGACCAAGTTGTAAAGATAATAAATGTGGTGATTTGAAGAAAAAATGCAAGAAAAAAGGAATCATTTATATACCGCCAGACTCTGATTTTGATCCTACAAGACCAGAGGCCACGTTAGCAAAAAAAATAGGTCTGGAAAAACTTTATAAAGAAGCAGAAGCACAAGGAGTTGTAATTCAAAAAGCATTAGAAGGAGATGTTCTTGATTTATTAGTGTTTCTGTCAGGGAGCAACCCTTTTGATGAAAATAAATGCAAGGAAGTGTTCACTACTAAATGTGATTCTATTAAATATTTGGCAGAAAATATAGAAAAATTATGTGGAAATAAAACAGAACGTGAAAATAAATGTAAAGAATATAAAAAGAAATTTGACGAAAGAAAAAATGCTCTAATTGCAAAATTTAAAAACAGACAATTTAAAGAAGAAATCACATTATGGGGTGAATTACCAAGTTTCCTTAATCAAGATGAATGTGCAGAACTAGAATCAGACTGTTTTTATTTCGAAAATCAGTCTTTCGAGAAACAATGTAAGAATGTTAAGGTTGCGTGCTACAAAAGAGGGCTCTATGTATTAGTAAACCAAAAATTGCAAGACAAACTTCGAGGAAAGTTTCATGATACAAATGATACATCCTTTAAAAAGCTTCAAAAAAAGTTAGTAAAGGAGTGTGCAAATCTGAAAGAAAAAAGCAATGAATTATTTGTGTTTTGTATCCAGCCAAATAGTGCAGTTTCTATACTTTTAAGGGATTTGCATTTTAAAGTGGACCTATTACAAGAATATTTGAATGCAAGGCGAGATCTTCCTAGGAAGCAGGATTGCAGGGAATTGCGAAAGAAATGCGATGATCTAAAACAAGATTTTGAGGAACTTGAATGGCCCTGTCGTACTCTGGAACATCATTGCAATAGACTAGATATTGCAGAACAATTGGAAGAGAAGCTGTTGGAAGGAAAAACAAAAGATTTGGATAAGTTCGATTCATGTTTAGAAATTTTGAAAAAACAGTGTCGTGAATGGAGTAGAAGAGGAAGAACTCTGTTTGCTCTCTCATGTGTAGCACAGAATATTACATGCAAGATTCTTACAGAAAGCGTAAACTTTAAGTGTACTACGTTAGGAGTGCGCATCGAAGCAAGTAATGTTATAGATCAAGCAAAGAGAGATGACAAGAAGGAAACGATTTGTAACTTATGGGCACCCTATTGCAGCAAATTTGTGTCAAGTTGCCAGAATCTAACTACTGGTGATGGAAAATGTAAGGAGCTTAATGAAGTGTGTAAATCATTCATCGAAAGGAAGGATTTGGAAGAAAAAGTAGTTTATGAATTAAAGGGCAGTTTGAAAACAGAGCAAGAGTGTCAGAATACACTTGACAGATATTGCGTAGTGTGGAAGAATGCAACCAATAAACTTAGTACTTTATGTACAGACAAGGAAAAAAATGGCAAGCAAGATGAAGATGTCAGGAAAGAGCTTTGCAAGAAATTAATTAAAAAAGTCCAAGAAAAATGCCAAGAATTATCAAGAAAACTCACAGAAACCAGTCTGGAGTTGGAAAAAAAAGAAAAAGAATATAAAAACATTAAAGAACAAGCAGAAAAGGCTATGGGAGAAGCAAATCTTGTTTTGTCAAGGCCAAAAGCGCTAGGTAATGAGACAGCAAATGATGTTGTGGCTGATGTGCCTAAAAAGCCAAAAGACTCGGCACATTTTAAACTTGTAAAAAGAGATGCAACAGTGAAAGTAACAGAAGACGAAGCAAAAGCATTTGATTTGGTAGCACAAGCATTTGGACTCTATGTAGAATTAAGGGAGATATGCCATGATTTACTAAAAGGATGCGGATTTAAAAAGGAATGTGGTTGTGAAGATTCATGCAAAACGATAGAAAATAAATGCCATGGATTGAAGCCACTGGAAGTGAAACCATATGAAGCAACAACTAAAAACGTAACAACAACAACCACAACCACAACGACGACAACAACAACCGTTACAGATCCAAAAGCAACAGAATGTAAATCTCTACAGACGACAGACACGTGGGTCACAAAGACGTCAACCCATACCAGCACATCTACGACCACATCCACGGTCACATCGAGAATAACACTCACCTCGACGAGGCGGTGTAAGCCTACGAAGTGCACGACAGGAGAGGGGGATGAAGCAGGGGAAGTGAAGCCGAGTGAGGGGCTGAGGATGAGTGGGTGGAGTGTGATGAGGGGGGTGTTGGTGGCAATGATGATTTCATTCATGATTTAGATGTAAAGTGGGAATGGGATATAAGAGCAGCATGTATATTTACTAGATAAGAAGGCAGGTTAGGGCAGGAAAGAGTAGATATGATCTCTTCGGCATCAATTGAAAGTGCATTACACATAAAGTAGCGTGTTGCCTGTGCAAATAGCCTGTGCCCCTCGGCTGAGTGGCCGCTGTTGTGCCATGTCGTTATCAGCGCATTCAGCGCCTACCCCGGATTTACCCCGCATGAAATTGAGGTGCACCGTACTGATGGAGAGATGATGGGATAGAACAATGGGGGGAGTGGAGTTGGGTGGGCGGTATTTTTTATGTGTGTAGCGTTGAGGTTGATGAGTGGAGTTGAAGTTTGTGAAAGTTGATATAGGCGTTGACAGGGCGTTGACAGAAGCGTTGACAGAGGCGTAGATATAAGAATTGATATAAGAATTGACAGAAGTTACTGTTTAGGAAGATTTCCATAGTGTATTTGAGCATTGTTATGTAATTTTGAGCATTGTTATGTAATAAGATCAAGATTAGAGCCAAAGAGAAGAATTTTTTGAGAGATCAAGATGAACTGTAGATATTGAATTTGAGAGTCACTAAAAAAAATGAATGAAAGGGAAAGAGATTGAGGGAGGTAAGATAGAGTATGTCGTTGAAATGAAAGAAGCAGTTTAAGGTGGGGGAAGATGAATTTTTTTAAAAAAGTAAAAGTAGGTGATGAGCTGGGAGGGGGAGAAGTGAGTGGATAAAAAAAAAGAAAAAAACAAGAGAGAAGCGTTTAGAGGAGTAAAAAAGGCGTTTAGAGTGAAAGTGAGGTGTAGTGAAGGTGTTTTTGTGGATTTAGTGAAGGTGGACATAAAGTAGATTTATGTAAATAAATGAATCATCAAGGATAATTGAGTGAGAAATAGAAAGAATAGAATATAGAGGAGTGAATGTGTATAAGAATAGCGGGGAAAAGTGATGGGGAAAGAGAGAGGGGAAATTATTTTTTTTTATTAAAGTAAATGAAAGGATTTAATATGATTAAAGCATGGAAAAAATAATAAAATGGAAAATATGAAAAATACATGAAAAAAAGAAAAAGCATAAATTGAATCTAGGAGGAGAGAAGAGTCAGGAAAAGTCGTTTTTTTCTTATAAAACACGCTGAATGGGGAGAAAGTTGAGTAGAGCCAAAGTCGAGGGGGGAAAGAGGGTGGTAAATAAAAAACAGGAGTGCCACATGAGAGAGCACAAAGGAAGAGGATAGATTGAAAGGAGGAAGGGGGAGAAAAATAAAGACTTTTTTATGTAAATAAAAATAGGTGGAAGAAACAGATCAGAGTTGGGGTCGATGAGAGAAGGAGTGGTGAGTAGAAAACAGGAATGCCACAAGAGAGAGAACACATGAAGATGCTAGATTGGAAGGAGGAAGGGGGAGAAAAAAGATGACTTTTTTATGTAAAATTATTCAGATAAAAGTAGGTGGAGGAAACAGATCAGAGTTAAAGTCGAGGGGAGAGAGGGTGGTAGATAAAAAACAAGAACAAGAAGAAAGAACAAGCAGGAGTAAAGATTAGATTTAAAAGAAGGAGGAGGGAGAAAAAAGATGGATTTCTTGCATAGATAAAAATAGGTGAGAGGGAATTGATAGCAAGTGAAGTCGAGGTGAGGGAGAAGAGTGATGGACAAAAGGTGGATAAAAAAACAGGAACAGAGGGAGAAAACAGGGAAGCAAAGACAATAGAATAAAAGGATTAAAGGAAGCACAAGGAGAAGAGGAATCAAGGAGGTGGAGGGCGGGGTGAGGGAATAAAGATAGAGAAGGGACAGGGGACAGGGGAGGAGGAGGGCACGGGACAGCCGGGGAGGGTTACGGACAGCCGGTGGGGTATAAATTGGGAGGAGAGAGGGGGGAGGGTGGGTGGGTCCTCTTTGCAAGAAAAACCAAAAAAAAAGGGTTTAGAAGAGAGTTCAGAGTGGGGGTTTAGAATGGAATTGAGGGTCAGGTTTAGGCCCGGGTTTAGGGTCAGATTTAGAGCACAGAGGAGGGTTTATTTGTTTTCAGGCCCGGACCTCAGCGAGGCTTCAAACTGCAGTTTAAAAGGCGAAAAAACGGAGTTAAAAAACGTCAGATTTTAATTGAAATTGGAGGGTCATTAAGAGGGTGTTTTTAGGAGAATTTCAAGGAGAATGACTTAGAAATGGCCTAAAGCGAGGGTTAGATGCAGGAAACGGGGGTTTAGAAGAAGAGGGGAGGGTTTAGAGGAGAGGGGGAGGGTTGGGTAAAAAAGGGGGAGGTTGTTTCCATGGCAACGAAAACAGCCAATAGGATTCAACTAAGGTGTAGATAGCGTTTAGATGAGGTTAGGATAGGGTTAGAAGGAGAATAGAGTTTGTTTTGTAAAAGAATGACAAGAGAATGGCAAAAAGATTGCAAAAAGATTGCGTTTTAAACACACGGTGGAGTAGTCATAGGCAGGTCAAGGTCACGTGACCAACACGTGAAAGTCACGTGAAACGAGGAAATTTGGGTGGGGTGAGGCCAAAATTTGGAGGGAGCACCTGTGAGGCATTGTTTAGACGAGAGGCAACGAATGAACGTTGTTTGAGCAGGGTAGGGAAAAGAGTGCACCGTTTAACCAGATAAAAGCACGGGAAAGACAATTTAAGAAGTTTGAGGGGGAAACGCAGTGTGGAGTGCTGGTAGGGGAGGTCAGGATCACGTGACCCACACGTGACAGGATTAAAATTTGGGTGGGGTAAAGCCAGGAATTGGAGAGAGGCAGTGCAAGGTGTTGTTTGAAGAGGGGGTAACGAATGAGTTTTGTTGAAAGAGAAAACGACTCAAAAAGTTGAGTTTAAACAGATGAAAGTGTAGGAGGGGCAATTTGAACAATTTGGGGGAAGGAGGCGCAGTGTGGAGTAGTCGTAGGCAGGTCGAAGTCACGTGACCAACACGTGAGATGCACGTGAAAGATTAAAATTTGAGTGGGGTAAAGTCAGGGGTTTAGCAGGAGTAGCACAAGGTGTTGTTTAAGCGAGAGGCGACCAATGGACTTTGTTTAACCAAGAATAAGCGTAAAAAGTTCAGTTTAAGCAGATGAAAGTGTAGGAGGGGCAATTTGAAGAGTTTGGGGGAGGAAGCGCAATGTGGAGTAGTCGTAGGGAGGTCAAAGTCACGTGACCATCACGTGAACAGTTGAAATTTGAGTGGGGGTAAAGTCGGGGGTTTAGCAGAAGTAGTACAGAGAGTTGTTTAGGCAGGAAGCAACGAGTAAACTTTGCTTAAGAAAGGAGCAGCACAAAATAATATTTAAACAGAAAACAACGTAAAAGTCGTGTTTAAGCGAAGGAACGCGTAAGAAAGGCAGTTTGAAGAGTTTGGGGGAAGGAGATGCAGTGTAGAATAGTCGTAGGGAGGTCAAGATCACGTGACCTCACGTGAAATACACGTGATACGATTAAAATTTGGGTGGGGTAAAGTCAGGGGTTTAGCAGGAGTAGTACAGAGAGTTGTTTGACAAGGGAACGACAAGGAGAGTTGTTTAAGGAAGGAGGGTGTTAAGAAGTCATGTTTGACTAGAGGGAAGCGTAGGAAAGCAAGTTTTAAAGAATTTCTAGAGGAAGTGCAGTATGAAGTATTGGTAGGGAAGGTGCAGTGTGAAGTATTGGTAAGGGAAGTGGAGTGTAGAGTAGTCGTAGGGAGGTCAAGGTCACGTGATCATCACGTGACAAGATGAAATTTAAGTGGGCTAAAGGCAGAAATTTAAGTGGGGTAGCACAGAGTGTTGTTTGGGCAGAAGGTAACGAATGGATTTTGTTCAAGCAAGGAAAGCATAAAAAGCCATGTTTAAGCTGAGAAACACGTTGGGGGTAGCAGTTTAAAGAGTTGGGAGAGGGAAACGCAATATGGAATAGTCGTAGGGAGGTCAAAGTCACGTGATCCTCACGTGAAAAGCACGTGACAGATTAAAATTTAGGTGGGGTAAAGTCAGGGGTTTAGCAGGAGTAGCAGAAAGTGTTGTTTGACAAGGAAACGACAAGAAAAGTTGTTTCATGAAGGGAGAAGTATGAAAAGTCTTGTTTGAGCAAAGGAACACGTAGAGGGGCAGTTTAAACAGTTTGGGGGAAAGAAACGCAGTGTGAAATAGTCGTAGGGAGGTCAATATCACGTGACCCGCACGTGACAGGAAGAAATTTAAGTGGGGTAAAGACAGATTTAGAGTGAGGGAGTACAAAGCGTTGCTTGGGTAGGAAAAAGAGAATGGAGTTTGTTCAAGCAAAGGACGACTCAAAAAGGCGAGTTTAGTCGGATGAAAGAGTGGGAGAGGCAATTTAAAGAGTTTGAGTAAGGAGATGCAATGTAAAGTAGTCGTAGGGGAGGCTGAGATCACGTGACCATCACGTGACAGGAAGAAATTTAAGTGGGGTAAAGGCGAGTCAATTTAATGGAATTAATGTAGAATTTGGAGGTTGAAACAAGTAGTTTTAAGGAAGTTTTAGTGGAGTTGTTTTAGTTGAATGGTTTGAAATGGTTTTGATGAAGTTTAAATGAAGTTTGAGTGGAGTCGTTTTGAAGTTGATGGAGTCGTGTTTTTTAGCGTTTGAAGGTTGAGTTGAGTGATTTTGATGAGTTGTTTAGTGAAGTTATTTAAGTGGGGTTGTGTTGAGGTAGTTTGAGTGAAGTTTGAGTTAAGTTTAAGTGGAGTTGTTTTAAAGTTGGTCAAGTCGCGTTTTTAGAGTTTGAAGGATGTGTTGACTCGTTTTAATGGAGTTGTTTAGTGGGATTGTTTGAGTGAGGTCGTATTGAAGTTGTTGGAGTGAGATCGATTTGAAGGAGTCGATGAAATAAATGGTCCCTGAGATTAGGGTTAGGGTTAGGGTTAGGGTTAGGGTTAGGGTTAGGGTTAGGGTTAGGGTTAGGGTTAGGGTTAGGGTTAGGGTTAGGGTTAGGGTTAGGGTTAGGGTTA